AAGACTTTTGCTTCTTCTGTGCCATATTCTGTTTGCTTTAAAAGCTCAGTGTGGAGATGAACACAGTTTATAGGTTTAAGGAAGGAGAGAGTCTTGCAGGATGACTTTGGATGAAGAGATGCCGATTTTGGAGGGCCACATCAGACCAGAAGATCATACCTTTCCATCTGCTCGTGACAAAGTGAAGGTCCAGTTATCATGAAAGCAATCTTCCAATTATTATCATATACCAGGGTATTATTTCTTTTTTCTTTTTTTTTTTTAACATATACAGCTTTATTGCAAGTAATATATTTTGGTCCTCGAAGTGTTATTCATACAGTTCCTTTTCAGCTGTGAGAATAAGAAATAGAGGAGGAAAAGCAAGAAAAGAAAACTTCATGGAGGTTCTCTGTAGTTTTCAAAATTATTCTATAAAAGTTACCTGTATTTCACAATGGAATTACTTCATTTGAGATTTATGGAGCTGAGTTCTTTGACAGTGTTTGCTGAAATCAGTGGAGTTGTGCCAACAAAGAATTTGGCCCTTGAATCATCTGGAATTTATTGCATCTGACACACTGCTTCCAGGGAAAGGAACAGATTTCTCTAACCTAATAATCAAGTATCTCTAAGACAGTCATCTGAGGCCTTCACATTTTGCAGTCTTTGACTTCAGACCAACTGGTGGAGCTGCCACAATGATAGTTATATGTGGCTGTGAAGAGAACAGCACACAGAGAAATCTGAGAAAGCATGTTCCTTGCCTGAGCTCTAACTCAATGAGAACTTCTGATACTTAATGATACCCAGAAAAAAAACACTGAATTTGTTTATAAAGAAAAAAAACACTGAATTTGTTTATAAAAAAAAACAAAACAGACAAGTGCTTTCTTTGTTTTAATTGCAAAATATTATTTGAGGCCTACAGAAAGTGTACCACTGAAACCAGAGAGATCCAGTTTTATTTTAAAAGGTTAGGAGAAAATGCAATGTTTCACCTTGTTTGTGCCAGTACCATAACAGTCGCTCACCAAGTGCATTTCAGATGCTGGAAAGAAGCCTTTCAGGTTTCAGTCCATATTGCCTATCTGTACCTACATATTAATCAGTTACTGCAATGATGGTGACAGTGTGAATGAAAATGTATTTGAAGGTAAGAGGTTGGATGCCCTATCATGCATCATTGTTTTGGAACCAAGGCCTTGGTAAAACTAAAATCCTGAATTTTCAAGTACACTCTAACACAGGGTTAAGCTAGAATGCTGAGCTAATACAGTTCATGCAAATTTTCTTCTCCTCCTCGCTCATTATTTTCAGAACATATTAATATTGTTGAAGAGATTCTACTCTCATTTTATAGATGTGTCTAAATTCTATTTTATAACACTTTCATGCACAAAAGCTTTATTCAAGGGAATTGCTTACAACAAAGTGGTTGTTATCTCTAATCTGTCTGCTAGTCATTTCAAGAAAAGTGAAGCCATATAAACCTATTTCTTTCCCCTTCAGGGAGCTACTGCTTCCCTTAATAAGAGTTGAAAATTTGTTTCTCAGTGTAAGGGGTTAAATGAGATCACATAAACAGTTTTTGTCTGTGAAGATATCTTCTCTGAAGCTGTAACGTAAACAGCCTTGTGCGGGAAACTACCACTAATATTAATATAGATTAAGGATCTCAATGTATAAAGTAAGCAGAGATCAGCAGCAATTTTGCTGTTGCTGCAGTTTCCTGTAAGGAGTGATTTTCAAGTTTGAAGAACCGCGGGCATATTTTTAACAGTCTTAGTAATGAAGTCTGCACTTTTTCAGCTGAAATCATATCTATTGACTATAGGCTTTACAAAGTAACACATGACTAATTTAGCAGGTTGCCTCTGACATCTGTTCACTCTCAGAGGCACACAGTGTGCTCATTGCAAAAGTAATAGGCTACACACAGGTAAGTGTACTGAAATCATCACTGTGTTAAAGATAATTTTGTTTATTATGGAACATTTTGGCCAATTTTAAATAATTTCACAAATGGTACAAAACTCATTCAAGATCTACTATTTTCATATGCATTTTAATGAAAAAGATTTTTTTTTGTCTCTACAGACAGAACTGTAATTACTATTCCACCTTCTAATATGGACCTAACAGTTGGAGAAAGCATAGTCCTTACATGCCAGGTGTCTCATGACCCCTCTGTCGATGTGGTGTTCATATGGTCATTTAATGGCAGTAGAATTGATTTTAATAGAGAAATACATCATTTTGAAAGAACTGGGAAAGTAGGTTTCTTAAACTCCTTAGTGCTTAATGAAACTATTTGCCACAGTCTTTAGATGACACAAATATTTATCATAATTCTTCCATCACTATTTATATTCATGGTGAATCACTGTTTCTTTACAAGGGCTGCAGCTATTTATTTTTCTTTCTTAAATTTCATAAAGGCACTTGAGTTATTTGTGAAGCCATAATAAAAATGTCCACATGAAAGAAACTGATGATAGCTATGAATATTTTAATTTAAAAGCTGAATTTTTTATAAATATGGAGCAATTTATAAAAATGTCTAGTATGGAAACTGTGTTGTGAGTGATTAGTTTACTTTTCTTGTATTTCCAGGAGTCTGTCAGGGATTTGATGATAAGAAATATTCAGCTACATCATTCTGGGAAATATGTACGCAGGGTACAAACAACTTTAGACAGTCAATCTGCAACAGTAGATATAATTGTGAGAGGTATGTCTGTTAAATGTAAACACGTATATCTTCTGGAGGAATTCAGCTGTTGTTTAAATGATTTCTAGGATATCAATTCAACATTTCAAAAGTGAAATGCTATATATCCTGTACTCTTGGCCCCAGAATTGAACTGAGACTGTGGCCAACATGATCCTAGTGTGCAGCTAATCCAGGGAGATCTGTGCAATTCTCCCTTGGCATCTTCTGATGGCAAACCTTTCTGGTCACACAGGTGAATATGGCAGGGCATAGGGAAGTCCTCTACTTTCAGCAGACTGCTGTCTGTTGCTCCTTACTGATCATGCCTGGGTCACTGTGCAGGCTCAAAAAAAAACCCAAAACCAAAACCAAGAGATCTGCTTCCTTTCCAGTATTTGGAGATGATATGAAAAATTGTCTATGGTCAACTAACTAATCTTTTCACTGCCAGCAGCAAGAGAAATGCTGTGATGGAAGCAGATCCCTTGAATCCTAGCAGAAATCAGAAATCCGCATAGTGTCCCACCTTGCATTCTTTTGAAATCTCAGTTTTTATTAGATGCAATAGGAATTCTGAAAACGCTGGATGGCTCAACAAAAGACACATTGGGTAACTTTCTTTGTCAAACAAAAAAAGAAATCATTCCCTTGTTTGTAGTTTTTATATTAGTAACCTGAAGACATTAATTTTCCTGACCCAAAACCCCTCATTAATTAGAAAAATGTAATACAGGCATGAAGCCATCATTTAGATATTGTGCTGCTGTTATGAAACTGCAGCTTCATTAATTTCACTGACTTGAGAAAGTAAGAATTGCCCAACACATTCCAACCGCAAATCTTCTCTATCTTAAAATGCTAATCATAATAGGCCCCCCCAGGTCCACCAGAAGATGTTAAAGTTGAACATATTTCTAGCACTGCTGCTGTGTTATCCTGGAAGTCTGGAATCGATAATAATAGTCCAGTCGAGATCTACAGTGTTCAGACAAGGACTCCTTCCTCAGTTGGATGGCAGGCAGTTTCAACAGGTGAGCAATTTGAGAGTTTTCTTTTTTTTATATATAATATTAATTTGCATATACCATTAATTATTTAAAAAATAAATTGTCACTGACATGTTTATTTTGCCTTTAGTTCCTGAAGTCATTAGTGGTAGGACTCACAAGGCAACAGTGGTTGAATTAAGCCCTTGGGTTGAATATGAGTTTTGTGTGGTTGCCAGCAACAGTGTTGGAATTGGGGAACCAAGCAGACCATCAGCTCTACTGAAAACTAAAGCAGCAGGTAAGTCCTCAGTTTTTCCATGCAGACACATTGGCTCCTCCAGGGTGTGAGAATTTCACTGCAGCAGAGCCACTCATTTGTACAGGGTTATTTACATTATCTGTCTGGCATTTTAGTCTGCGTCTGGTACGGCTTCACGACAGCAGACCTGCACTACCAATGCAAAAGATGCTTGGACATGATTGAGGTACCACCCACTTTGCTCTCTGGTTTGAAGATTTTTTGGGCTATGAGCTGGCCTGAGCTTCCTCCCTTCATTATGTCTCAAAATATATCTGATCCACATGCCTGAACACAACATTTCATTGCTTTAATACCCTGATCAGGCACTTGCATAAGAAATGATAAAGCCAGCTCTCTGGTATATCCTAGCACAGGCATGTAAACCCTTTGATGCAGAGGATGTTTGATACCTCAGCATGAGTAGGGACAGGATATTCGTTTTAACTGGAAGAAATAAATTACAGCATCCAAAGCCTACTGAAACTAATACTTTCCACTGACTCCAGGGCAGGATCCTTACTATCTGTCTGTCTAACCTTTACACATCTGTCTCTGGGACTTGGAACCTCATAGGAAGAAGGCTCATTCTTGGATGACCGACACTGTCAGTCCTTTGACCTACTCAGTTTGGTACAATTTATTTGAAGTCTAAACCTTTGGTTTATGTTTCTCCCAGCCCTCTGCTTATCAACTCTCTCCTACCTATAAAATCAGTACTTATAAGATGGAAAGCAGTAAAATGGAAGCAGCTTTTACAATCCACTTTCTTTTCTCCGTTTATCTCAATTGCTAAGCTCTGAAGTTTGGCAAGCTGCATTTCAAGACAGAACTCAAAATACAGTATTGTACATTATACAGTACAAACACATATATCCTTAGAAAGGGGGATCCATTTGTTTCTCAGAATACCTACAATATTGGTCCCAGGGCAGAATTACTTCACAATGTATTAAATCAGTTGATTTAAGTTTAACAAGTTCTCTTTCCTGTTGTTGAAGCAAAAACATACTTAGTACTGATGCCAGAAAAAACTATTTGATTATTGGAACACCAATCTTAATAGATTTTTGTCAGTTTTCCAGGTGCAGAGAGGCATCAAATGAATCTTATCAGCAGTCAGAACTGCCTGGCCAGTGTGGTAGTAAAGCAGATTGCAGGCTGCTCTCAAATAAAGGAAAGAGCTTGAGAGCCTCGAGTATGGAAAGATGCACTAATCCTGCCTGCGCCTGGGTGTCTGTGGGATGCATGTCTGAGTGGTACATGACTCCTTCCTCCCACAGGAAAACACTATGAAACATTCACATGCAAGGAAGATTAAAGAAAAGATGGAGACAGGAAGGGTCCAAATTTTCTAAATTTCCCACCAGAGTATCACAGATACATGTTCTCCTTTTCATGACTGATCATGAAGTCAAAATTATTCTTGAGAAGGTCTTTCTTGCTGTTGGCACCATAGGGCTTTGCAAAGTGATGTTCAAACCCACCTATATAGTCAGTAGAAGCTTTCATCTTTTAAGGTGGGGTGGTTTGTTTTTGTTTTTGTTTTTTTTTTTAATTAGAGGGATTCACAAAGCTAGAGCTAGAAATAGAAGGAAGCAATAAAATTAACATTATTTATCATAGCAATAGCACAAGTGTAGCACTGTCTGAAGCTTAACAGAAGGAATAGAAAGATTCCAGCTTTTAGTCGCTTAACCCCTTCACTGCTGTAAATCATTCTGTCTCAAAATATTGCTCTGCAGTGGCAGAAGAAGCAATTTATCTTTTCTTTGGTTGTTGTTTTAATCAGACTAGGGATCTGAAAGCAGTGTGATAGCGTGGACAGCAAAAGTCTGGGCATGAAAGGGTGAATTTGAACTTTGCTGTTATAATAGCTATTTTGCCAGCTGAAATCTGAGCATTAGTAGATTTGTGGATGCAAATGAGACACTGTTCATTTCATTAAAGTGGAGCTGAGAATTAATTGAGCCTCTGTTAGTGCACTCAGCTGTAAACTTTCATCTGTTTCTCAACTATGACCTAGTTGAGGCTCTGCTGAGCAGTAGTACAAATATTTTTCCCAATGCAAATGTAGTAAGTACGAAACACATTTAACACATGAACTAATTGAGCATCAACTGGTTCATGAAACAGTGAAACACTAGATTGAAAGTCTGTTTTGGCATTTTTTTTTTCCCTTTAACATGGTTCTTTTCCATCTTAGATTATTTATCTGTGATGCATGTAAGAGACTGATTGTGAGTGACAAAATGGAATACTTATGCAGAACTCTCAAAAATAGGCTAGTCCACTTGCACTTCCACTCGCTTTTATGACTACATAACAAAATTATTGTGAAATTTCTACATTTCTAGAGAGGATGGAATAAGATGAAGATTTATATGTGTACCAGAATCTAGCAGTGATAGTGAGTTGACATAAATTTCCATGAACTGAAAGGGCTATTGCCTTTTTATTGTCACTCCTGCAGCTGGCCTAACGCTGGGTGGATGAATGGGGAAGGACAGGAAGACATTGTAAAACTTGTGAAACCTTTGAACAAGCTTGAGATGAAACCATCCTACCCATTTCTACCCTGTCTTCAGCCCTGTCTTGACACATCCAATTTTCAGACTGTGAGAGCTGAATGAAGGGGACAACAAAGCAATCTTGAAATTTCTAAAAATAGTACCAAGGATTTGGAGATGGAAAAGAGTATAAATGCCCTCTTATTGGTGGTTCCTGCTCAGTCAGTTCCAGAGTTGCCCTCTTGTTTATACTTCCTCAGCAGCTGAAAAGGAACATGATATTATCCTTGCAGGTAGACCTATCGTGAACTTTACCATTAGAACAAGGCTGGTCTGTCTAAATTCCATCCATTATATCACACTTTAGTTCTCCAAAATTGTCAATATTTATAGGCTAATGGGATGGGCACGTTTATGGAAATATAAAGCAACAGGAAAAAAATGCTGATATTTTCTTTGCCTTGCCACCAAGAGTCACTTGAGTGACAAGGCCCCTTCAGCCAGGGACACTAGCATATTGCCTGACCTCAACCTTGTACCCATTGTGCCATACACCCAGGGCAATGCTGGGGAATTCAAGCTCTAATTAATGAACTTTTGGACACTTACAGTCTTGGAGACGGAGAAAAGCAAATTGCAAGTTTTGAATTTCCTAAGAAAAGCATACAGCCAATTACAAAAAAAAAATAATACATTGTTCCAACAACATGTTTACTGAACAAATGCATAATTAGTAAATCAGTAGTGTTGCAGCTACAGTCTGAATAGAACATCATTTTGCCAATTAGTTGATGAAGCATAATAATGTCAGATACTTGATGCTAGTAGCTTCTTTAATTAATTTTTGGAACCAAGGTACTCATGTATCACATACATCTGTGGCTTCAGCCTTATGAAGGTGAAAATGTGTAAACATCATTTCAGTTCATTTAAAATGTACTGTTATACAATATAGTACCTGTTCTATGTGTTGAAAGGCAGAATGGCTGCATGTAAGCTTGGAAAAGCTCTAAGCATCCAGTTGACAAGACCCATGGCAGTAGTTGTGGGTAGTTGCAAGAACCAATGTCTTTTCTTTTCCAGTTCCTGCTGTGGCACCAACAAATATCAGTGGAGGAGGAGGAAGCCGCTCTGAGATGGTGATCACATGGGAGGTAATTGTTAGCTCAATTAACCTAAGCCACCTAATGGGGAAGGTCCATGCGTGAAATCACAGCCCTGCTGAAATCCAGAGGATTTCGGTCATTACCTTGGGCTGAGCCTGGATTTCATCCTGCATCTGGAGGGAAAACAGCCTGTAAGATATACAGCAAGTTTTCTATGTTATAGTGAACAATTTATAAAAATAAACAGTTTAAGAGGCACGTTATAAAGATGTTTAGAAGTCTATATAACCCTCTTATCTTCATTGTACAGGAGGTGCTTAACACACTAATCTGCTTGGCCATTTTCTGCATTAACATTTTTCATACTTTTGTTTACATGTTTTCCATTCTGGAACGCTGTGCTGACAAGACATATCCTATTATGCGTTAAAGGAGATGAGCCCTTTAATTCTCTAGCACTCCAGTGAGAGGAGAGAATATACATTTTTAGAACAGTTAATACCATACTATAAGTTGCAATGGATGAGCACAGGTCATTTCAGAGAGCAGAAAGTAAGCATTGTAGGAAGGAGCTTCCCTTCACCAGCCTCACAGTAGCCTCCCTGAAAGCATCCTGATGAAGGCAGGCAGCCTCTTGCAAAGCCTATGCAGGGCTGGGGCAAGCACTTAGTTAGAACTTGAGACCCTATGGAAAAACTCCCCAAAACGCATCTCCTCCCCTCTGTTTTTTTATTACCCCTGAAAAGTATACATGAAGTTAATGTGATTCACCTAATTAAATCTCTCCCCTGGGTCTGAGAGTATATAACTAAAGTAGGAGCTACTCCATGCCATTAGCAGCACTCAGACTGGAGGTCAAGAGCCAGGCAGCCTGGCCACGTATCTCACTATCAGGTCTAACTGTCTCAGAGGATGCACAAGATGCTCTCTCTTCAGTTCCTAATTTGGGACAGGGCATCCAAAACCGTGGGGCTCCCTTTGTAAGTCATGGAAAACATTTCTTCATGAAAAAAAAAAGAAAAAGAGACTTCTAGCTCAGCTTAAGCAAGAAAAGCAGTCTCTCTCCCTTGAGTTCATTATTTTCCCAAAGAAACAACCAAGCTTATGTACTGAAGGAAAGGAAAAGGAATTAAATTAAACTAAAAGTGATGTTACTCATCAGCTGAGTGAGTTACTTGTGTTCTCCTGTATGCTAAAAACCTGTGCCATTTGACTAGCCTTTTGGGGGAGGAAGGGAAGTGCCAGCAAAAAACAGAATAAAAAAAAATCCCCACTAGATAAATACTATTTCAAATGCTTCCCACTCTCCATGCTCCAGAATGAAACTTCACTTTTACTGACCTAAGTTGTCCTCCATAGTATCTTTCACTCTTTTGTTTCATTTTCTCCTCTACTGTTCTACTCTTTGGGAGCAGAAGAACATGAAAATTGAAAACAACCTGAGACATTTCAATCAAATTACCCTGTTGGACTCCATAGTGTGTCATGAAAAATAGACAGAAGAAATACTAATTATGCCAAGCTAACAACACTGAACACATCTCTCTATCTTTCTGTGATGAACTCACTAAACACCTTGATTAAATCTGAGGTCACAGAAGCCTCAAAAACAAATTAAATGCTCTAGAAAGTAGCCTGAACTCTTACAAATCCCCAGTGAACCATCATACCTCACATTTAACTCTCTCAGGACAGGAAAAGAGATAGAAGAGGGCATATTGGGGAATTAATGTTTGCAAAACAGCTAAGGAAAGATACTTTTGTTATTTATGCCAGGCCAGGCTTATTATTAGAAGGAATTTCTGAGGAAAATAATAAAATAAGTGCCCTGAAATCTTCTGATGTACTTCCTGATTTTTTTTCTCCCATCATCTTACACCATCAGTGCTCCTTGTTCCCAGGAATGACTGCAGGAGAGGAGATTGGAGCCAGGAGGGATCACAGGGTCTGCGCTTCTGTCCCTGTGTTTTCCTCCCTCTTTCTGCACTGTTTTCCATATCTGCTTTTCCATGAACCTCACTCTGATGCAAGGATCTGAAATAAATGAAGTTTTCTTAATAAATGCTTCCTTCTTCCATGTACTACTGATCTTTTCTTGTTTCATAAATGTTCCCTTGCTTTGAGAAGCTAATAGAGAAGTATTTTTATCCCATGAAAACAAAAAATTTCATGCTGGATACAGTGCTGATGTAATTGCCTGTTCAGTATGAGTCATTAATACATATCTTGACATAAGATTTTATTAATAGAAGCATTAATTTTGCCATGTTGACTTGTGATAACAGTTCCATTCTGAACAAACTTAAATATGTTCATGCACTTGAGACTCATGCAGGCAGTTCTACAGCTGACCACACTTGTGTGTATACATTTGCTCCCTTGCCAAATCTTATTTTTTTCTTTAAGAATCATTTATTTAAAATTAACATTCCTACACCCCTTGGGGAAAAAAAGAAAAAAAGTCAGCTACAACCTGTACTGAGGAAAATGCTTTTAATTTTGAAAACTTCATGCCTGAAAGAGAATAACTTTAATGGAGCTGATCAGCTTTTTTTTTGTTTCTAAATTGATTGCCTCGATAGATTTATTATTTTGATTTTTATTTCAATATTACATTGACTGATGGAGCAAACATTATTATCTTCTCTAAGGCACAGTCAACTAAATCAATACTGCTAAAATATAGTCAGGGAATGAAGATTCAATTAAAATAGTGTATACTTGCAAATGCTCATTGACTGACTGCTTTGTCACTACAGTCAGTTTCAGAAGAGCTACAAAATGGAGAAGGTTTTGGCTACATCGTTATGTTTCGTCATCTTGGCTCAGCAACCTGGACAAAAGCAGTGGTGGCTTCAGTGGAAGCAAGCAAATATGTTTATAGGAATGAAAGCATTAAACCTCTCTCTACTTTTGAAGTGAAAGTTGGCGTCTACAACAATGAAGGAGAAGGGACTCTGAGCTCCATTTCCATCGTCTACTCAGGGGAGGATGGTAATGCCTGTTACTTTTATTAGTGATGGTTGTGTAGCATTCAACAGGTCCCAGGTGTGATCAAACAGATCCTGACAGGGATATTAAGCAGCCTGCTCAAGCCACATGACAGAAGATGGAAAATGGAAGTAAACAAAAAAGCAAGGCGCAGGTTTTCAGAATTGCTTTATGTATACACCATGTTTCAATATTTTGGTCCCCAGGAAGCTCCCACTGAGTAAGCTGGGAAAATCAGGAGACATCCAAAAGTCTAGCCTTCAGAGGGTCTAGCTTTTCTGACTGCTCAGTGTAGCTGAGCAGTCTGAAAATATTTCCCAGCTTACGGGTAATGACCAATTTTGAAAACAGGTTTTGCTGATGTTCCACAATAAATGAGTGGTAAAGCTAGCAGCTCACACCAGGCTTCCTGAGCCTCTGGGAGCTGCTTCCCCCCAGAATCTCTTCCTTTCTTCTTGAATCTCCTACAGACACAACATAAATGTTCTACCAGCTGTGTTTTCTCTCATCACCCAGAGCCACAGATAGCACCAGTGAGGGCTTCTGCACTGAGTATTTCAATGGCAGAGGTAGAGATCTCCTGGCAGCCCATCGCATGGAACAGGCAAACAGGCAGAGTGCTGGGCTATGGAGTGAGCCAGTGCTGGTGTCTGACACCTTACAGGTATCCCCTTCATGGCCATATTTGTATCCTGGTACTTCCTTCCTTGCTTCCAAGTCAACAGACAACGGGGCTCTTCACATGACTCTTATTAGCAACATTTCACCTTAGATATTCACAAACATTTACAGACCAGGACTGCAGCTCTGGACTTTTTGTGATGTACAGTAAAACCTCAAGATTAATCATGTGTGATGGCTACTAAAAAAGGACACTCACTTGATTCCGGAGGTGCCTCCAGCAGACAAAGAGGGAGTACGTTTTTGTATTAGTAACAGGGGTACTTCAAAGTAATCTCAGATATAATTCCTGTGCATTTTAGTTACACAGTAGGGTTTTTTGTAGATAAGTTAAACCAATACTAAACCAAGTCAGAAACACTTTAAATTCTGTCCTATAATTATAAATGTATAAATGAAGGTAATAGGAGTCATGTACTATACACAAACTTTGTTAAATCAATTACTCAGAGGTAAAAAAACACATCAGGTATAAATAGCAGTCCCTGAATCAAAACCAAAGGCAGGACACAAAATAATTAAAAGATCTCTTAGATGACTGAGATTAATGTTTCTTTGTACCTTTTAAAATTTTCTTCAAATGCATTCAAACCATAAAACCAAATGAGCTTTTAAAATATCTCACCTTATCAAAGGTTTCTTTTTAGACATCTATAAAGTTAAGGATTTCATTTATTTCCTTTATTGGTATTCAGTCTCTGAAATTTTATTTCTTCTCTATAAATATTCACACTTGGTTTTATTTCCTGCTAGTTTTGAATACGAAAAAATCCTGAATTCCTTGAAATCTTCATTGTCAGCATGTCTGCTTCCCAGCCAAATCTGTAATTGATGGAAAACAATGAATTGCCTGTTCTTTGTTCTTGCCTTTCAGGTTTTATATTGGACTGATGATCCCAAGGAAAGCACAGCTGGTAAAGTCAGAGTCAGGGGGAATGTAACAGCCAAAAATATCACAGGACTAAAAGCTAACACAGTCTATTTTGCAACAGTTCGAGCTTACAACACTGCAGGGACTGGGCCCTCTAGCACCCCGGTAAATGTCACCACTAAAAAGTCACGTGAGTATTCAATTTAGTACAATAAATGTTGCCAAATCCCAAATGTGATAGTGACATTTCAGCTTACCATGACCCATCTCTGCTAAATGTTTCAATATCAAAGAAAACTGTATCCCATATCTCTCCATAAAATTAAGCAACAAAATCTGTGACTAACTTCTCTAAGTCTTATCTGATAATACTTTCGTGGTCACTGTCAAGTTTACTCAGACTCTGGTATTTAAGACATTAATAAATATTTAGCTTCAGGTCTGTCTCAATGGAAGCTAAAATTCTCATCAACTTAAAGCAGGTTATTTCATTTGCCTTATTCTATTTATATGCTAAAATAATTCAGTACACCTACAAAATTAGATAACACCAGTGTCTGCGTTCACACAAAATAGCAACCATTAGTAAGGATTTCCTTTTGCACTGCAACAGCATGCCACTTGATTTCAGGAAATTTCCAATGATATGTAAAGTCAATAAAAGAAAGATGTTCCGTGGATCAAACAATAGATTTGGCTATTGGGAATATGGGTTTGTTTCTTTAAAGGAAACTGTTGAATGGTCCAAATAAAGTGCTTTTCTGAGACCTTTAGACTGTGAAATACAAAGGGGGGGTATTCGTATATATAGGGGGTATATATATGTATGAATACATTCATGTAAATACTGTTTGGTCTGGAATCCTAGAAGCAAAGACGTATGTTATTCTGTTTGTGAGAAGCACCTTCATGAAACCAGTGCTTTCATGTGGCCACCCTCCAAGGTAACAAGGAAGCACTGAGTACCATCCTGCAGGATTGTACCTATAAAGTAAATGTTCACTAAGAGCAAAATAATCATAAAGCAGTAAATCTTGGTAATCTGCTGTGTACCAGAGTCCCCCAAACTCGTTGCTGTTTAAGCACTCCATTGTTTTTATACTTTCCTTGGACTATGTTCTCCCAGTAAATAGTTGATCAGAGCTTTTGCAGAAAAGGCACAAAAGGGGAAATATCTGTCCTGCTTTCACAATTTTCCTCTTATCTATGTGCTGTTCCATGCTACTTCTCAAAGCGCAAGACAGAAACCAACTTATAAAATGAGCTGCCAATTAGAGTTACTATTTAGTGTAAATAACATAAACCAAAATAAAGCCAGAGAAGGTATTTCTTAAGGATTCAAAGAGGACTTTTCTCACAGGCAATTTCTTAAGGGAAAGCGGACTAATCTCTGTAAATTATTCTCTAAATTCCTATGTGCATATGTATGAAAGACAAGTTAAAGACATGGCAGTCAAGAGACAAGATGTATAAGGAATAAATTTGCTTTTGTTTTACATTGACTTCATCTTCTGTCAAATTTAGGACTGTGCTAATGGGTCACTTAAAAATTAAAGTCAAAACAATCCTTTTAATATTTAAAAACATATATTAAATTTTTAAGTTAGCCTCTGAAAAATGCAAGCACTTTCAATATGAGTAGAGATAATATGTCAAGAGAATATAAACAATGTGCATCTACCGCCGGAGCTTTAGCTTCAATGTAATAGCTCTGTCTTCCTACTCATCATCCAGGATTCCTACAATGTTCTGTGCATGCCATTATTGTAGAGACTAAGCAGAAGTAAAATGGTCCTACTGCCAAATAGGTGCAATTCTGATTGAAACATACTTATCTGAGATCAATTTAAAGTCTAAGTTCATATCCTCATTTAAGTTTAAACTACTCAGGAAGGGGGAAATGTCCTCCTTCCATGAACATATTGCTCCATCAGGAGCCACTGTGGAGCTCAGCTCTTCTGCTTCTTTACTTAGATGATGGATTTCAGGAATTGCTTTGCTTTTTCTTTTTACTTAAAAATATATTTATCAACAGATACAGATACTAGAAATACTTTGCAAGGATAAACCTCAATTCAGTGCAGCAACAAAGTGTTACCTAAACACAAGAGTAACATCGTTAACTTAATAAACTGAAGCATATAGTTGGGATTTCGATTATTACAAGAAAGTAGTTGAGGAAATTATCTCCTAATACTAGAACTGAAGAACTCTTTGCAGTGGTTTTGCTTGCAGATATTGCTATGGATTTAGGGAAGTGCTGCATCACCTTCTATTCTGGTCCCCAGCTGTATAGCAAAACCAATTAATTTGTCTTGAAACTCATCCGATGGTAGTTTTTCAGCCCCAAAACTATGAATTGAAATGGTTTTAATTGCTATGCTAAAAAGCTTTGAATAGGGCAGTATTCACCCCTTTTTGAGTGCTTCCAAGACTTTTCAGGATACACAGTCAATTTGACATCCATTGCCTGTTGTGAGGTTTTTTGTCACCAAATTCCTTATACAAAATATTTGCTGAAAGCAACAAAGAGGTTTCAACCAACATTTAAGTTAATTTGCAGTTTAATTAACTTAAATATAAATATCTTCAAAAAGAAAATTAATCTCTTTTCAGCAGTGACAGTATGGCACATGGAAGGACATCTGCTTATATTCACCTGGGTAGCCCACTAACACTTTTTTTCCCTGCTGGTGGGATGGATTAAACTTCTCCATAGTCAAGAAGCAGACAGATATGAAACAACAGGCACCATCAATTTATTCTATCTCCATGGGAAATTAAAGAAATTGTGGAGTATTATCAAATCAACAGTATCTTCCAAGTTACATTAATCATCAATTTATAGGAACCACAGGGAGAAAACAAGGATCCTGGAAATTAAGCATTTTAAAGTCAAATCTGGGATACTCACAATGTGTTCCTCCAAGTCTCTCTCTTTTTCTAAATTCTGTTCAAGTTCTTATTTCTTCTAACATCCCCAGTGCTGTCCTCCCAGGCAGGGTCTAGGAGGATGCATGATGGAGAAGGAGATAATGTGTTGTTCTAAATCTGAGATAGGGTTCAAAGGCACAGTTTCAGCTTCACATGTTCACACAGGATTCAATTTCAGTCACTTGTAGGCAAATTTTCAAAGTCCTGGCACTTAGGCATGAAAAGCCTTTGAAAAGCTACTCTCAGCCTATTGTGCTGGGAATTTATAAAATCTACAATGTTTCATGATGGATCATATGGAGACTTTAATGTGTAGCTCTTTGTAACCTGTCCTCATGGCTGATGAAAATCTTATCTTCTGTATTTTGCTCTTAGTTTTACCTTTTTTTGAAATCCATACAGCAAAACATTCTCTAGTACATTAAAATACAGATAAGAAGACAGTACTTAAATAAAATCTATCAAATATAACTTGAGCTGTCAGACACTGTCAGGATTTCCCTAATTTTGAAAATGAACTCTCACAGTAAGCGGTTTTGTGCTATGAATAGAGCTTTATTCTGACTAATGTGGGAGCAATGATGGACTGGAAACAATTTTTTACTCTTAGATTTGAATCACCCATGCATTTGCTGCTTCTGTGTCAGCAGCTCGTTCAATTACATGATGCAAATTAATATTCAGTTGTATCTTCTGATTATCATCATATTTTTTTAAAGCACCAAGTCAACCTCCGGCAAACATTGCCTGGAAACTGACAAATTCCAAAATCTGTTTGAACTGGGAACATGTAAAAACAATGGAGAACAAATCAGAGATGCTAGGCTACAAAGTAAGTAATTTCTTTATCTCATTCATCAGACATGGTTTCTATAATAGAGGTACAAACAGTCACTTGTTGAAAGGTGACTGTATATTACCTGGAAAACAGTGACTCTCATGGATATATTGTAAAGGTTTGCTGAAATTTATAAAACTGGAAGAATGGCTGTGTTTGTTCAGAGTAAGACTTATTTATCCTGACACAGGATTTTTCTGTCCCTAACACTAGATCTCTCTTTTCCCTTTTTCCCTTATAATCTCACTCATCTAAGATTCTTGTATTCAAATCTTTAGGGGAAGGAGATTCACACATATATAAGGAGTAGAGCACAGCCTCTTAATCATTAAAGACAGGCATAGGACACATTTAAAAGTCCCCACCCTCTGGAAATTCACAAATGTACCTTTGAAAATGAGAAGGAAGATATGTAAAGTTCAACATGAATGAAGTAAACGCACTCACACAGATCTATTTTTAAAGGGAAAAAAAAATAGTTAAAAGTTTGTTTGCAATGGCTCTGACCCCAAAAGACTCATGCCAAGACTTTTTACTCCTGAAAGACTATACAAATGGAGGTGAAGAGTGCTTAGAGGAGGAAAGGTCCTCAAGATCAAAATCCTCATGTTGCTAGGAATTTTAGTGTCTACGCAGAGTTATTTATATCTAGGGTGGAAAAGGACACAAAGCTTTCCAGCTTGCAATCTTTCTTGCATATTCTTTTGCACTCTAGTGAATGTGTTTGAGTAGCTCCACACACTGGGAAGAAAGTTAAAACTAGACAATTAAGCTTTTTTCCTTTGTGTCTAATCTACCTGCTTCTAAGCTACACTTACTTAAAACATTCTGGTGTGGAAAGAGTTTTTATGTACTTGCTATGCTATTTATTGTATGATCCTTGTTTCTCCTTCTGCTTTGCTCATCAGTTGCTCTTCTTAGCATAAATATGTCAAAAGATTGTCAAAGGAAAGAAGTCAAACACTGTCATCGATGTGCTAGCAAGGAAGAAAGGCTTCTTGAAGGCAAAAAGCTGTTCATAGTCTGCAGGATCCTTGTCTAGACACCCCAAGCTGCTCTGCTGCTCTGCACCTTGGTCCAGTGATTCATTAGCAAAAAGACCTATGTGCAAGCAGGCTCTGGATCCATTATGTTTAGTTGTAGAAATGTGCTTCCTAGATGCTACTAGCCAAATTTCTGTCCTTTCTTGAAGCTTTTAAGAACATACTGCTATGCAACATCCCAGGTTTTCATTAACAGGTGGTAATTTTACACAGAAATCAATGTATTTCTGTTTGACTACAAATGCTCACTACAACCAGGGAAAATAAAAAAACAAACAAACAACAACAAACCAACAGAAAAACAAAAACCAAACTGAAACCACTAAACCCTTAGTTCCTAAAGCATCTGATGAGTTCTGGGTATGAAAGTTCTTACAGGTTGATGTCTTGTTTAAAGGTGCACATTTATAGAACAATATAAATGTTTTGGATAGGGATTCATAATCTTATTCTAGCAGATAGAGGCTCCCCCGAAAGCTGGAGTAAATGCCCACTGTGATCTCCATCACAAAAATCTGCAGAATATATTTCTATGTTTTCAATTAATTTTAATCCTCTGCAGGATGCTGATAGTGCTCTGGAAAGTTTGGGACATGACAGAAGATACTCTTAACTTTCCAAAAATCCATAAAAACCTAAAACTATACTAAATAACTCCTGCTTTCTAATCCCTTTTAACTTAGATTTTGCATAGACAAAACAGACATAGCAAAACGCATATACTGGAGACAACACTTCAGCTGAATTTCTGGTACCATTTGAAGAAGATTATCTCATAGAAATAAGAACAGTCAGTGACAGTGGGGATGGCAGCAGCAGTGAAGAAATTAGGATTCCAAAAATATCAAGTACGTGAGATCTTTTTTCCCCTCCTCTGACTGTTACTGTGTAATAAGAAATCTATGTTCCTCTAAATACAACAGATTAACAGATTTTCCATTACCATAGCTGGCCTCCTTTCTGTTGCATTGTGATGCTGGGCACATCAGCATTAGTTAATCTCTGGTACTCTCAGATTCATTATCAGAGAAATTTAGCACAACACCTAGATGTGACCTTAGTTTTAGTGTAGCGGCCTGTAACGGTCTGGGAAGAACAGAGAAATAAGTTTTCTTGATAAAGTTAACGCTGCAGCTCTCATATATAATGCAGCTCTTAATCTGCTCTGAAGCTGCTAAAGCTCCTGAGACAGAGAACCTCAGCCCTGCTCCATGCTGGGGTGGGTATCCCAGGGTCTAGCCCCTGCTCTCATAAGTACCTTATTTTCCTGCAAAACAAGGCACAGTTTTGCAACAAACTAGCCAAAGTCCTCCTAAAAGCAATATTCCAGGGAGGGTAGGAAGATTATTCAAAACCAAACCCCATAGAACTGCTGCTACAACTTAAAAGATAAACAGAAGAAACATTTGTGGATAATGTTGCATTTTGGAGATAGAACTAAGATTACTATTATGCTAGAATGCATAAAAAACCTTTATTTGAGACAAATTTACTTCTGTCAGAAAATTTTGTGTGCTTATATTTTTACAGGTTTCATCTCTGAAGCAATAAAATTTTCCCAAAGGGTAAACCATATATTGACATCTGGGGTCCTGCTATTGAGTTCTATTCTTATATAGTCGTTTCCTTGATGATTAAAAAAATGCTCAGCCATGGACTTTTAAAAATAAGCCATGTGTAGATTTTATCTTAATACTTAACTGTGACCAACATTCCTGATAAACAGTGGGGATGGTGGAGGGAGAAAGAAGTGGTCTATTATTAAGAAAACATTAGGTATCAATATTACATTAATTTTCAAAAATAAGCTTTGAAATTAATGGATAAATGTATATGCATTAATTTAATGGAGTGATGCCAAAAGTAACTTCAGATTGTAAGCAGAGTGATCTCAAATATTTTACAAGCAGTATTTCTAATTGAAACTCCAGTATAATGGTACGTCAAACATGAAAGACGGGTGACAAGCTGTTGTAACTGAGAGAAGATTTGCAATTGCTTGTGATGTGGATATTATTTATCTCACTTTCTTCAAGGTAACCTGTAAAGAGAAATAAAACAAAAAACACTTTCAATTAAAAGCTATTTGTTTACTTTTTGCACTTGTTTTATTACAGAGAGTGCCATACAATGCATTAATAAAGTGTACTGTACTATTTTTTCAGAAAATGAAAACTTAAATAAAAGAAATTACATGTACTAGCCCAAAGCCCTTTGAATTCTGTAGAAGGACTTTCAACAGCATCAGCAAGCCTTGAGCAAGGTCGAATGAGACCATATCTTTTACAATATGAGATACCTTATATATTCTCAAATATAAAGTATTTTTTCATACAAAGACTATTCTGACCAACAAAACTAGAAGAGATGCTGAATACCTTTTTTGACAGGAGACTGAAATATACCTGTCTTCAAGCAGGTTAAGTTGCTTGCTCACATAATCCTGTTATGTGGGTTTTGAAAGTGTAGATTCATCTTTGGGCTGGGTATGAAGCTAAATGAGAACACTGATTTTCATCATCTTGATATATAAATAAAAGCATAAAATTAAGCATTTCAGTCTATTGAGTTACTAGAATGACAAATTAAACATCAGAGTGAGCGTGGTTTTCAAGTCAGTAGATACAGCTCAAAATATGAAGTCACACTCATGTTAGCTTTAACATCTGATAAAAGGCACTTTTTTGTCTCCTATCCATCTTCCCACTTTACTCTGAAGTATATCTTCGTTGCACCACTGTCAAATATGCGTTGTTTCATCTTTGTAACCATTTATAACTACAAGTGAATCAAATATCCCCCAATATTTTTTAAAAGAAAAATGTTCAAATGGGGATGGTGGTACCTGAGCACATGAATGAGCAAAAGGCTAGAGGTTCATCTGCGCATGATAATCCTTCAAACAGCATCTTATCCATTCTTATCCATGGATGTAAGAGGCCAAATTGGCAGCAAGCAAGTCTAAAATCTGAATTCATATATAAAGCTACCAAAACTTTTGTAACTAAGATTACTTCCAGAGCCCATGAGCTGGACTTCAGGGACAACTCCACACATACTGATGTGTGACAAAATAATAACAACACTGCAAAAGCACATGCTACAGAACAAAGTCCAATTTTGATCTAGACTCTACAGGATGAAAACATCATTAAGTGCCTAGGACAAGGTGTTTCACTTGGAGTTGCACTCACCATTAAACATTTGCATCTTGTGTTGACACTATCGAAGCCAAAAAAGCATGTTTCACATTCTCATGGCTGGGCAGCTGCAGTCTCACTGAAGTGACTGTGAAACTTGTTTTTTTTCTTTACTGTGGATAAGGAAATATCACTTGCACCTGGTGATGTTTAACAATCCCCATATCAAACTCAATAAAACTTTTCACGGAATTGATTGTTATTTGGTGGAGCTCTTTCTATCTGTCCTATTTTGGCTGGGATAGGGTTAATTTTCTTCCCAATAGCTGGTGCAGTGCTGTGTTTTGGCTTTTGTCTGAGAACAGTGCTGATAACACACCAATGTTTAAGTTGTTCCTAAGTAGCGCTTACCCTGGTCAAGGACTTCTCAGTCTCTCATGTGCTGTCAGTGACAAGGGGCACAAGAAGCCAGGAGGAAGCAGAGATAGGACACCTGATTTGAACTAGCCAAAGGGATATCCCATACCACAGAACATCATGCTCAGTAAAGAAACTAGGGTGAGTCGTCTGGGAGCAGCCTATCACTGCTTGGGTCAGGCTGGTATTGGTCAGTAGGGGTGAGCGATTGTATTGTGCATCACTTATGTTTCTGGGGTTTTATTTCTCTCTTGTTTTTGTTATCTCCCTTCTCATTACCATTATTAGTATTGTTGTTGTTATTTTATGTTTTACTTTACTTCAATTATTAAACTTATCTCAGCCTGCAGGTTTTACTTTTTCAGATTCTCCTCCTTGCTCCCATCAGGTGGACAAGCTGCTGCACAGTACTTAGT